CCGAACACTTCAATTGGTGCAAAATAGAGCTGCCAGGTTGCTGACGGGGACGGGACATTATGCTCACATGATTCCAGTCCTCCGTCAGCTTCACTGGCTTCCCATTGAAGCCCGGGCCCAATTCAAGGTGTTGATTATGACCTATAAAGCCCTAAATGGCTTGGGTCCTGGCTACCTGAACGAGCGCTTACGTCTGTATATGCCCGACCGCCCTTTGAGATCTGCGGGAGAGGCCCTTCTCTGGGAACCCTCCATGAAAGAAATTAGGAGAGTAAGTACTCGGAGGAGGGCTTTCTCTGCGGTGGCGCCCAACCTATGGAATTCACTCCCCAAAGAGGTCCGCCTGGCACCGTCGTTACTGGTTTTTCGGCGCCAGGTAAAGACCTTTTTATTTAAACATCATTTTAATTGTTAAAACATATGATCTGGCCAGGGCAACTTCTTCTTCCTTCTCTTTTCTCCTCCTTTATTTTTATTTACTTATTTTATACTGATAATTTTAATTTTATATTTGTAACTCAGTGTATTTTTTGTATTTTTGTATTTAATGGTAATTTATTATGTTCTATTGTATTTCAATGTATTTTATTGTGTTGTAAGCCGCCCCGAGGTTTCGGCAAGGGGCGGCATAGAAATGTTATAATAATAATAATAAAAAATAATAATAATAATATTTTAGAACTTTCTACTATGGTTACTATTTACTATTTATATACATCACAACAACAACAATTGCATCAGCATTAATCACCCCTTTAAAGCAAACAGATATGTGCATATGATATGCATCTATAGTTCATGACACTATATAATTGTTTCTAAAAATCATTACTCACAGAATTGGTTCATTTATTGCAGTGGGTTTAATAAGCTAATGTGGGTTGTTAACCACCCTGTGTCAGACACATACCAGGGAATTTGCATAATTACCCTTGCTGGCACAGCTTCCTCTGTTGTGCCAAAATAACCAGGATGGCTTGTTGCGGTGGTTAACAAGGCACCCAGAAGGTATTGGCTGTTGTAGAGTTCAGGGTTAGATTAGCAACAAGCCACCCTGGTCAGGAACACACAACATGGGAAGCCACACTTCCAGATGTATTTAAGCTAATTCCATGAGCACCTGTAGTGGATGACGCTTGCCACTGTAGCTTATTTCCCCCACTATGATCGTATGAACATGGCTGCTGTGGAGAACCTATGGCTTGGGCAGAAATATTGGTGCTCCTGTCAAATAATCAAAGAGTCCAAAACACAAGATATGACCACATCCTCCTTGATGGAGCTCATCTTGTAGGCTACAGTCATCATGTTACCTGCTTCTTCGAATCACTCAATCCCTTATTTTCTGCCCAATCTTTCATTCATCTCCCCTATCCATCAGAATGGAAACTGGGGAGCAATGCTACATGCAAGCCAGTGATGCTCCACCATGATGTGTACGGATTGTTCCTTCTCTTTCTTGGAGAAGATGCAGCAGCAGCACTTCACAGAATCCTGTTTCATTTCTTCCAGCATTAGTGCTTTAGTTCTGTCTTGAAATGCAGCCATCCAAACAACAAAAGAGAATGAAAGAACGGTTCCCACAGAATGAGGATGGTATGCACTATGCACCACTTACTGTGTGTGGGATGCATCTGAGATGATACAAACTACAACTATGCTCAGAACCAGATTTCAGAATTATCCACCAGATACACACACCTTTTTAGCAGAAAAACTGGCAGTGTAGAACATAGCATTGGAAGTTCTGAATATTGGCGGGGGGCGGTGGCCAGGGAGAGGGGAAAAAACTCTCTAGAAAATGCTTTCCAAATCAGAGATGAAACTATTTTACCATCTGCTCATTTTTAGATATTTCTTTTTCTGTTTGTGCCTTCAGAAGGGACAGAATATATCATGAGGAAAAATTTGTTTCATGGCTTCATCCTATTTATGGGCTCCTTATTTGACATTCAGGGGTTCTTCAGTGCTGCATGAGGCAAGGGGATACAGCAGAATCCAATGAGACTTCTCTTAGAGTCAATAGCAGGGGCCCGTCTGCCAGAGCCTTTTTCCTTTACAGCAGTGGTTATCACTGTCTTTTGAGCATAAGCCACTGTGAGCAAGGTCTTCATTAGAACTAAGAATGTGCCACAGAATACGTGGAACATTCCTGTGCAATGCACACTGCAAGACAGAATGCACTACCAAAGTTGCAGGATGAGAAATTCCTGACCTGCCTAGGATGTTATATACCATGCGGACAGTAAAATTCAAGGAAGTTCCAGCAATCCAAGGCATTGATAACATAGTTTATGCAGTATCAGCACAGTTTATGCTGCACACACATTATTCAAAAATATTTAGTGGAAGTGATTTCCAGGCATCAGGTTAGGGCTCACAGGGCAATCCTCAACCTCAGAGCCACAGGATATTTTGGATTATCCTTTAGGATAAGGTGGAGAAATCCTTCCACTGGTAAAGAGGAATTCTGCTGGCAGAGGGGGACAACACTTGTCCAGGAAGTTCTAAAAGAAAACCTTCCAGGGACAGTGTTCCCTTTGGCAACAGGCCCCAAAATGGGGCATCCTGGGGTTGTGAGGCAGACAATCTATGTGTCCACATCACAAAAGGCCTAAAGGTCAGTTACCTCTACTACTTCTTCCAATTCATTTCCATTTTTACTTTGTTTTGCTTGTAAGATCTGCTGGGATAAAAACCCTTGTAGAGCCACCTCCACATCCATCATGAGGTGGCAGGACTTTAAAGTTGTGGACAGTCCTCCCCGCACTCCCAACTTAGGTTTGTCATGTAATCTAAGAACATAGTGCAGATTCAATGATATGGGACAAGCTTCATCAGGATACTGTAAGCAGAGCCCTTAATTAGCTAGGTTGCAGGAACCAAAAATTCTTTTAAATGGCCTTTAACCATCTCTTGTACCCTATGCTAAGAAAAAAGAGCAGAACTGCTAGGTTCTTTGCAAATGCCTGGCATTGCCTCTCTTTGAATTCTCACCATGTAAGAGCTGTTGAAATGTATGGCATGTAATCTAAATTAGGATTACACTAAGTAAGGACCTACATTGTTTCCTTAAACCTGCCATAAATTACAAGAAGCTAGGCTCATAGTTAAATATTACTCATTGTATCAATGAAAAATCTGTTCCCTTAAGCGCCACATCTATCCATCATCGTATGTTATAAACAAGGCCTATCTGTGTTAGACAACTTCATGTAGTGAAAATACTGAAGACTTCTTGTCGTCGTTGTTGTGCGCCATCAAGTCATCTCCAACTTATGGTGACTACAGGAAGAAATGCCCTCCAGAATGACCTGTCCTTGGCAGCTCTGCTCAGCATTTGTAAACTCAAGGCTGTGGCTTCCTTAATGAAACTAAGCTATCCCATAACTGGAAAGATGTATTAACTTCCTTATATCCAAGGTTTCCCTTGCATATTAATCATATGAAGAATTATCCCCCTCACTCAAATTACATATAATTTCAAAAATGGGAAGTTTAACTGATTAGGTCTTAGCATCAAAAATAGCAATAATTGTAGGCCAATTTTAGAGCCCATTCATAAATCACAGTTACACAAGAAAAATGGTAGTTCAAGTCCAGCTTGTCTGTACCATGGAAGTGGCCTTTGGAGAAACATCAGTAGCGGGCTGTTGACAGTGAATGGCATGGGTTTTTTTCCCATATTGTTTTTCGCAGCAAAAGGAGACAAATGGAGCTAATAATATCATTGCGAAATAGTGTCTTCAAATGAACAAGTCATGAAAATCAAAATGCCATCTAAGAATTAAGCATTTTGCCAAGAAACTTTTTTCATATATGTATGGATATGCAATCATTTCTACTTTACATTTGATAAAACCATTGGAACGAATCAGAAAGTATATTTGCCACATCTACAAATAAACCAAATGTGAATGTCCTAGTAGGAGTTCCACACAGCAGTGACATAAGGCTACCATATTACACTAGCTAGAAAGTGGAGCAGTTGTCGACGAATCCAGCAAGAAATGTGCAGTCAAGACTCCACCTGTGCACACAAATTGCCACCTAGTGGAATTGCCTTTAGGTGTCAACGTGTCCCAACAAGCTTTTAGTCACTGGACTCCTCACAAGTCATGACCATTTACAATTTGACAATGCAAATCGTATTTTCATAAATCAATGTCAGAAATATCCAAAAGTCTAGCGTTCAAAAGCAATGTTCTGATCCTGAGAACCCAGTTCTTTCACCAACCCACCTTCCACATATCATTGCAAATTATAATTCCTTTCTGCCTCCCTTAGACTAGTGTTTACACTGTGCTAGTGAGCACTATGTAGAATGTGGCCTCATGACCAGTCTGAATACTTACTGGATAATGTCTGTGATATTAAGGTAGCACACAACCAGGGAAAGATCAGCAACGTGTAAGTATAGATCAAAATAAAAAGTAAGGTATCTGCCATCTGGGAAGGCCTGAGTGAAAGGCAGTTATTTAAGGCATTTGTATGAGTCATACACAACATCTTTGTTTCCGAGCTCCAGCAAAGGTAATCTACAACAGATGTGCTATGCATTGACCATGACAAATGCTAGTTATAAAGGAAAAGATACAGGAAATCTTCCCAATGATTTCAGTGGTAGCTTGATGGTCGAAGCCTTGGACTAAATAGGATAGGAATAGACAAGATCCTCAGTTCACTAATTATCTAGGATTTGGGTAATATTCCATACCAATTATTAAACCAATTCCAAATTAACCAACCAAATAAAGCAGATAAACAAAATGGCTAAGATTACCCTATCCAGAAACATCCATTCAAGACTACAAATATACTTCAAATGCTTGGGTGCCAGCATCAAATTTCTTGGTCCTGAGGATCAATGTTTAAGATACCACCTCAAATTCCTAGACAGAGCAATAAGTCAACATTCTTAGGTGTAACTTGACATTTTAAACACCACATTTCTCACAACATTACAGACTCTCTGCTTTTGAAAACCAATTATTTATTACCTCCCAATCCTGGTCGCAGACGATTATCATACCCATCCAGAAGTCTGTCTAGAATTCTTGTAAATATGGTGATGTTATTTTTTGCTTCATCTTCATTAGGGTCAGCCAATGCTGATCTAAACAGAATTTTAAAAAAATCTAATAAGCATCCTTGCATTTACACATGTAATCCAAAAAGGTCACGTTTTCTTACTGAATAATGAATGATTTTTGGGTCTAGGACCTCTCCATTAACACCATAATCAACATATAACCCACAGTTAATATTTCCCTTCTCTTTCACCATTTCCCTGCTGCTTCCCTCATCAGCACATCATAACAAGAACTTCCCCATTAGCTACTGATAGTTAAGTGACCTGCAGCAGCCATATTAGATCTGAGCAGGTTTGTTCTACTCTTCTTGTACCCCAATCCCTCTCTGACAATCAGAAGAAAAGAAATTGGTTGGCTGCCATTGGAGACAGAATATTTGTCCTGCTGGATTGTATCAGCAATCCACCTTCCATCTGACTGTGTAAGACGGATATGTGGCACTGTCCTTTAACCTTTAAAGCAAATGAAAAAATTGGAAAAACACTAGTGCATCCCATGCCACTTTGGCCCACCTGCAACTTACAAACCAACAGCTGAAAACCAAGGATGTAAGTAATAGTTGTATCCAGTTTTTTATAACGATACATCTAAAATTTGGAAGGTGATAAGACTTGTAATAGCAAACTCTACCTACAACAGCCTTACCAGCCACTGAAATTCAGGCACCACTGATTACTGACTTAACTGTAAACCCTGCCCCTTCATATACCCTTGCCCTCAAAAATAATCTTACTGTTGCAAGTAGGGATGACGAACAGCAAGGAGAATTGGCCTAGATGCATTCACTGAGTTGTGTGTCATTGGAAACAGCTACATGCAACTATCCCAAAGGCAATGGATGCAGTCTACAAGGTCTATTCCATTGTCAGCCAAGGTTCCCAGCTGCCAGTGACCACGTCCTTCAAAAGAGTCAGTTTATACAAGCAAGAAAAATGGGGACAACAAGCAGGGCTGGCAGGGAGTTCCCCTAGCTGCACCAAGTAATTTTGGAATTCTATGGGAAATCATGGTGGGGGGTGAGCACATTGTATGACAAGCCTGGGGCAGTTCACCCATCAGTAGGTTTACTACAGTCTCATTAATTCAAATGGCTTGGCATTCAAATAATAAACGTATTGACTATATAGGCCTGCTACTCCAAATTATATATTTGCATGCCTGGTAATATATGAATCTAAAAAATAAAGCAGGCTTGAAATTACATTGGACCAGATCATAGAGTCATACAGTTGGAAGAGACCTAGCAGGCCATCAGGTTCAACCACCTGCTCAATGCAGGACTCAGGTCACCCATGCAGATTTCAACCAGGCCCAACCTTGCTTAGCAGCCATGTTTAAACAGGATCGTGCACTTAAGGCTATATGGAGGCTTTGAATTTTGCTTGTCTTTGAATAACTAGTTCGATTAATTTTTGCAGGGAGTTTGTAATAAAACAGTGGATTCTACAAAGCACTATAAAATTCCGATAGTCTGACATCAAACAAAATTCTATGACTATTGCTCTATAAATGAATTGTGCATGGGGAAAGCGTTTTGGAATGTGAAATGTCAATTACATTCATCCTGTAATACAGGTCATCCATCACATCGATATTATGAATAGCACACTGGTCAACCCTGCAATAGGTTGGTTGTTCATAGAACAACCCACTGTATGCCCAGCAAATGATTGGGCTTGCCATATCTTGTTCTCTCCCTCCTTCTCCTTCAGTCTTCCAGCTGCTTCTGACATACATTCCAGGCGAACCTGCAGCAAAACTCATTTTGGCTCTTTATCCCAATCCTCTCCCATTCCCAACTGCTACCACTTTTGATCAATGGTTTGTTTGTTTTTTTCTAGTGCTAAAAATGTGCAGTCAGGGTCATAGCTTTTTAAACATCCTTATTTGCCATTCTTTCATGGATCTGCAAAGGTGCATTTACAGCTATTCAACAGGAATGATATTGTCTGGTCAATTACCCTGTATGTTTCAGCTGTCATAGGAAGATGAAAGGGGGTGTAGGTAACATATAAGAAAATTGACACATCCAAGTTGTTTATCAGCTAATCTGCACATAGGGAGAAATAACAGTGAGAGAAATGAGGGACCTTATAGCACAAGTAAGAAGCACAAAAAATGAAGTTGGGAAAGCCAAAGGAGTAAGTGCCCAAGACTGGCAAAACAACATTTCCTCCTCTGTCATAGGATCCTCTCAGTTTTCAGTGTTTGAACTGGCACTTCTCACTGTCCTCCACCTTTTCAGTACTTGCTAACACTCCAGATGCTCCAGAAAGGGAGCTATGAACTCTTGGTGCATTTCATATCTCCTTTTTCATGGCCCCTTTTGTGGCTACTGCATTCCCTAATCATTTTTTTAAACACAGAAATGTATGCAAATTTAGTAGCTGACAATAATGGATGCAAAACTTGCATTAACTGAACTGCTACTACAGGTGCACAAATTTCCCTTCCATCTACTTCCCAGCCATTACATCTTGCAGATTTTGAATATTAATATTTTATAATCAATACTATATATTTATCATAATAAAATTGTGCAAATATTGTCAGTAACCTATGATAATTCTTAGAAAATATCACAATAGCCTACAATATAATTGATCATCAAGTTCAGATGATACAACAACCCATCATGGGCAAGGACAACCCTATTGCCCATGGCTTTTCTGCTTGGCTTGTTCCTAAATGATAAGGTACTCATTAGCAAAGTTCCAGGTTGAGATGACACAACAACCCACCAAGTCTGGCTGTCAACAGTGTGTTGTTCTGCCATGTAAACTTGGTCTTTACCTATGTTTTCACTCAGTCACTATGTAGCTTACAAAACATAAGAGGGAAGCTGCCATGATCAGACCAGCATTTAGTAGCTGCTAATAATGAGCTCAAATGAGATGGAAAAGCAGCAAACTGCAAGCATTCTGCCACCCTTAAATATTTTGATTTTTTGAATTATTCTCATTACATTTCTGGAATGGCAATAAATAATTTTATAAATAAACAAATAGTTTAGTGATGCTACATGCATATAAAATACAGATGCATACATGCATATAAATTATTTTAATGGATCTCCCAGATTCAATTACAGTGGGTTGGGTGCAAATTTAGCCTCATTTAGACCTATTCAGTCACAATAAGGCTAAAATAAGGCTGTTAGAGCCAACTCACTCATAAAGAGATCCAATTTACTTAAACAAAAAAAGCAGAACTTCTTGATGATTTAAAATTCAATTAAAGATGCTATGAGGGGAAAAAAAATCAAAAGTCATCTTATTCTCCCCACCCTAACTCCTTTTACTAAAACCACCAATACATGCAGCGAAAATGCAGTGGTCTTTTAATGGCTAGCCAAGACTTGTGCTGAAAAACCAGCGAACCTTGCTGAAAAAATCTATCCCAAGGCCTTGAAGTATTTCCTTGAAAATTAATTATCCTGCACATATCTTTCCTATGCACAACCAAATTTTTGTAGGAGTTTCATGCCACTAAAGCTGTTTAATACAAGTTTCAACCATTAGGGTAACAAAAAGTCTTATGCTACAGGCATGGCTCTTCTTCATCAACCTGCAGTTATTTATGAATTTTTTGACCTGCACTCTGGCAGTGTGAACCAACAATTCATGCTACCCTGCTGCTGACTACTTTAACATGAGCACAGTGTGAACTGCAGAAAAATAAATAATCCAGGAATAAGATCTTTTATATAGACAAAAACGATCTTGAGAAATTGACAAAACAATTCTACCTCGGTCAAGCTATTCAACAATATGAACGAAGTACTGAGATGTAAAATTTCAGACTGTGACATTTCAAGCCATTTCTTTTAGTAGTTATAATCATCTGATTTTCAGTTCAACACTTAGAATTTCACAGGTGATCTGACATTAAAGTGTGCAATAACTATAGTTCCTACTTGCACGTAGGTAAAGACAGCTATTGCTACAAGTATTCAAAGGAAGTCTAGTATTTGCAGGCAAGATGTAGTCAAAGCCTAACATTGATAATCCTATCAGCTTCTATCTAATTTTGAAAATTAAACAAACAGGACTAGTCTGTCGTTAGACACATTGAGTCGTTGACAGCAATGAGACCCTCACTTGACTAAGGCCCACTCTGGCTTAACTAGTACTGCAGCATCCATGCTGGCTAGATAAAACTGAAAACACATTTTAATATATTTAATTCTGGCCACTGAGCTATGCAGCCAATAGTCTGGCCACACGTCAAACGTAAGGCTTTTTTATTGTAAGTCTTGAGGTTCGTAGGATTTTGAGGAAATTAAAATACAGAAAGATATTAGTCAGGATGCGACAGCAGTCCAAACTGAATCCACAAGCAAAATGAAGTAACATATCACCATTAATTGGATACAAAGACTGACCAGGTAACACCAAACCTAAATAAGTATTTTTCAGTTGCCTTCTATGCTGTTGTCATGTTTGATCTATAGATCATTAAACAACATCAAAAGTTGATTAATAAATCAGGTTATTGTTTTATTTTATAGGACTGTGGAATTGTATACTATCTCCACCTAGAGGTTCAAAGATTAAGTGTCTCAGTATTCTGTTATGTTGACCAAAAATATTTTCCATCCCAGTACAGATCCACATGCAAAATGCCCCTGTTATCCTCAGTGCTTTGGGTTGCTTCCTGATTTCAGAGGAATCTATTCTTTATTCTCTATGCGCACAGACATAATGAAATTAATTGTGGAACAATAACCCAACAAAACATTGTAAAGATTCAAAGGTTACACAGAAAAATAACAGAAGAGCTTCTACCCCCCCTCCACCCAACTCTTTTCAAGACTAAACATGAAACTCTTGTTTAATTTTCTGAATGACTTGTTTTGCACAAGTTTATTAATATTTCACCAACCTCAGGACTTCTTCCTTTACTTCACTTGTTCTGCATAATGACAGATCATATATTTAAAGAGCCAACATATACCAACATCTATAAGCCAATTACAGGAACTAACTACCACCCAACAAGACAATCTGTGTTGCTGTTGATCAAGAAGCAGCACCTCCTCTCACCTTGCAGACAAGCACACCAAGAAAATGAGAAGAATCAATTGCATCATGTAGGACATCAGTTTCCTCTTCATAGCTGCTTCCTTGCAAAACCTAACGATGCAAGAGGAAGAAAAAGGACTTCGCTCAGATCAGTTTCCACCAAGAAATGCCTTCAATATAAACCAACAGGGGGGAAATGTCATTTCAATGGAGACTTTAAATCCTTGGGTCTCTGAAGCACTTTCCCCCTCACTCAACGAACAACTTATTAGATCTCCATCATCCTCCCAGATCATGCGTTGTTCGTGCATGCAGTGCATAATCAAAAGTGACATATGAGCAGATGCATCAAATGTTGCTTTCCCTCCTCCTTCCCATGTAACATAAAGAGATTGAAGACTTTCCCTGTTATTTCTTTATTTATTTATTGTAATCAGCTATTCCTCGATTGGCTTCGTTGTATCTCCCCCAACCAAAAAAACAAAAAACAAAATGAGGAAGGGGGCAGACACACACACGCACACACACACACACACACACTTGCAAGGGGTTCACTGGCTGCGCTGCGAACCAAACCGGTTCAGCTCTTTCCAAATGCTGAGCATGTTTGACAGCTGTTTGAAGATAATAACTGACACAGTCCTATAGACAGAGAGACAGAATTCACAAACAACGACATTCACAGTGCAGCACAAAGTTGCAGAATTAAAAGGGGGGGGGTCACTTAAAGCAGGGTGCTTATCTTGGACGAGGTGAAAGAAAAGGTTCAAAGCCCAGTTCGCCCCCCACAGACACACGCAAAAACACACACCCCTCTTTTTCACTCTTGTGCATAACAACCCCTCACAACCACTCACGCTGGGTTCTTTCCATAGGAGGGAAGGAGTGGGGGAAAGAGGGGAGGTAACTGGGGAGCCTACCTTGGGAGCACCAGGAGGCGCTCAAAGGAGCTGCCAAATATGTAATATATACAAACAGGACTTGGTGAGGCTGAGGAGGGAGTCCTCCCTCGCGAGGCTCTGGAGAGTGGGGGAAGCTCGAGAATGGGGAAACTTGGGGGTGGAGGGGAGCGACTACTGCAGCAGCAGCAGCAGCAGCAGCAGCAGCAGCAGCAGCAGCAGCAGCCCTATGAAGACAAGCGGTTCCAGAGCGGTTGTGTGTGCATGTGTGGTGGTGCGGGCGCGCGGGCAGGCGGGCGCGCGGGCGCGAGCAGGTAGCGCGAGGCGCGCGGGAGGGGGGGCGGCTAGGAGAGCAGCGGCAGTAGTCAGTCAGGGTATGGGTATGTCGGTGCCGTGAGTGCTTCTGTGTGGTGCGTGTGTGTTTGTGTTTGTATCTCTGCCTGTGTGTGTGTGTGTAAGAGCGAGCGCGCTGGGACGCGCGCGGGCGCGCGCAAGCGGGCAGCAGCTGCAGCTGGCACGCGCCCCGGGGGCGCCAGAAAGAATGGGCGGGCGAGGGGGCGGAGCCTCGGAGGACGAGACCATCCCCTTTCTTGTCCCCGCTGTCCCGCCGGCGGCGCGTGCTGCTGCAGCTTTAGCTCCACGGGGCAGTAGCAGCCCGAGGCACGCGGGCGGCGGGCGGCGGGCGGGGCGCCTCACTCCGCCGGGTCCTAGCGAGAGGATGCTTTGGCTGTTGCCCCCCCCCCCGTCTTGCCTAGCAACGATTGCGCCGCGCCGCCGCCGCTGCTAAGTGGCGGGGTACAGCAGGGAAGGCGAGAGGGGGATTTGAGAAAGCTGCTGCCGTGCAGGGTTCCTTCTACAGCCTCGGGCCCCTTCTTTATTGCAGCGCTCAGTCCTATCTCCGTTCGGGCTCGTGGTCGTGTCACTAGCTCGGCTGCCTCCATTTCGAATGGGTATGGGGGGGGGGGTTGATGAGCCACTGCCTTCCCGTGGGAAGAGTCGGGGAGGGGGGACGAGGAGTCCCGCGCCTGGCGGTCAGCGCCTGGCAGAAAGCAGTAAGTGAAGCTGCACCGGGACGGCAAGTGGGGCGGGGGCGAGCTGCTCCTGCCCCACTGCAGCCGTGGCTCCCGCGGCTCCTGCGCCGCTGCCTCCGCGCTGGGCATGGCTTCGCTCCGGCTGATCTATCCAGACAGGTTGCTGCAATCGCGGCCACCCGCTCACACACCCAGGAAACGTGCTCCTAAGAAGTTTTGCATTGGCACGAGATGGGGAGAGGAGCGAGCGAGCCGGGAGGGAGGAGCTGTGGCAAGGATACTTCCCGTGCCTGCTGCAACCCGCCGCGGCGACGGGGGCAGCAACAGCAGCTCGACATGCTGAAGCAAAAACGGGCTGGAGGAGGAGGAGGAGGAAGCTGCTGGGGCTGTTGCTTAATTTAGCCTTTCACTTGTCAGAGCCATGTGCGCAGAAGAGGCTGTTTCAGCCTCTCGCCGTCTCTCTCCCTGCCACCCTGTTCTGCTGTGCCTCTCTTTGATCTCGCTCCTGTGTATTCGCTGTATTATTCCAGGTGATGGATGCAAACAAGAGGAAACTGGGTGCAGCCAAAAGCAGTGAGGGAATGATGCAAAATTCCAAATATTCAAAGGACTCAAAATACAGATGTGTGATGTGCAAGAATGTCATAAGATACACTTGTATGAGGAAGTGGTGCAGGGACATGCCAAAATATGGAAAGAGCTCATTGCCTCAACCATAACATGATCTGGTAACTTCCTGGTGAGAGAACAGACAGCACTTCCATTTCTTAAATTTGATATCATAACCTATATAAATATGACTGGATGCTCATAAACCTAACATGTAAGAAAACCTGAGTGTGGTTTATTAAAAAAGAATTCCCTTAACCTTTCCATTACCATTTTCTGAATCAGGCCACAGTGATCCCCTAAGCATATTCAACCCAGTAAGAAATATATTTGGATTCAATAGGAATTACATCCAATTAGAACTCCAGAATTCTCTTTCAGTGTTTGCATCAAAGCCAAGATTGGAGACTCGGTGCTTGGTAATGAAAGAGAACACAGATATAGTAGATATATCAGAAACTGCCTTGGTAGGATATCCTCCTCTGCTGCCCCAAAGGCAGCCTAGAAATAAGTTTAGATTGATTTGTTAGCTAGACAGAAACCTGGTATGGAAGGGATATGGCTTTACCTGGATACTGTATCCAGGTAAAGGATACTGAGGGGCATATTGGAGGTTGTGTTGCTGTATGTGTCAAATACATAATACAGCCACATAAATGGGGGGGGGGGACAAGCACTTTTCTGGAATAATTATGGGTGCTACTACCAGGCCTTAAAATGCAATATAGTGCTGAAGATAGAAGTCTATTGGCCCTTCTTGAGGTGGAGAAAGATATCAGCAAGGCAACCAAAGGAGAAATAATGGGTGTTTTCAACTAGCCATGTATGGGATAAATTTGAGTTATCAAGGAGACAACATTTCTAGATATGGTTACATGGCTGCAGCATAGAATAATGGAGCTGATGAAAAGAGACCTAACCCATCAGATTATCCTCAGGAATTGCAAAGTAGACACATTATCAAACTGAATAGTCATCATATTCAGTGCAATCAAGTTCAATATATACGTAAGTGGAAGATTTCCCAGAAACTCCGTTAAGATCACTTTTAATTTCAAAATTGGGGGGTGGGGGGATTAAAAGGGAAAGTAGTTGAAAGGAAAAGCTGGAGTACATGCAATTTTTTAGGATGGCTGGTAGCTATTTAAAAACAGGTTGATAGAAGCTTTCAGAAAAGTCACATGAGATTAGAACATATTAAACAGATTCAGGAGGATGCCAGCATGGCTAATGAGCAGAGTAAAGGTGATATAAAAGGCATAAGGACACAAGAGTCTAGCTGAAGGAGGCCAAGAGTTTATCTAATCCATCATTCTGGTTACACAGTCATCAACCAGCTGCCTGTGGGGGAAAACCCATAGTTGGATATGAGTGGAAGTACCATCCCATTCATACTCCCCCAGTAACTAGTGCTCAGTGACTAGAAGCCATTGATAGCCTTGAGGAGGATTAGGAGGTTCCCTTTATAAGTGAAAGTCTTGCCCAGATGAAGGAAATGAAAAGGGACACAAAGTCTGGCAAAACAAATGTAAGAGCATTGTGAGGTAATAAATATATCACGGAGCATATTGCCAAGTACATTAACATAAACAATCACATTTTATTTATTAAATATATCAGAATGTAAAGTCCAAAATGAGGTGAAGTGGCAATGGTGCTATTTGATAATAGAAGTGTGAAATATAGCTAAAGAAAGACAGGCGATTGCAAAGAAGCCAAATTAATTTTTGCATAGCTTTCACCATAAAAGGCACTTTAAAAATAGCTAGGCTTGAATTAGAGATTTCACCAAGTTTAATAACTGCTTGGCTTCAAATGTGAAAATCAGTAACTTGGAATGCTCACCTTAAAATAATGGTGGTAATAATATTGCTCCTGAATTCTTACTAAGCTTGGATTTTAATGCACATTGAAGAACTTACACACACACACATACACACAGAACTTACCTGGTTACGGGTAACAAGAGGCCAGAGGTTGGGATTCTGTTCTAGTGGTGACTCAGCGGAGTTTGTGCAGCACTGGCAGGGCCAATATTGCAAACTAGAAGAGAATTCTCACTAACAAATGAGCTTTTTTTCTGAGTGCTTCTGAAAGACTCATAAATGCGGAGCCAATTCTTAATAGGGCTGAGGAAAGTTTGCCAGTCAGTAGAGGGAAAGAAGCATCAGGGTTCCCCCAGGAACTGCATAGGTTCTGGAGCTATTTAACTTGCTTATAAAGATATGGAGTGGGTGAGAAGTATGTAGCCAACTTTGTAAACGAAACCCAAGTATTGTGGCTGGTGGAGGCCATGCAGAACTCAGAAGAGTCCCAAAGGAATCTCTCCAAAGGGCTTGAATGGACAACAGTGGGACCAATGAGATCCAAGATAAGTTCCAGTAAAATAATCCATGAAAGGCCAAAGAAATTGGACATTCACATATATGCTGAAGGAGCCAGAACTGGCAGCAACCAACTAGGAAAGAATTATTTGATAATCAAAAACACATGATTGTCAATCCTTGGAGAGGGAAACACCTCAATGAAAACATCATCCCAATACGCATTGGT